CACTGGTACTGCGATGCAAAATTGGCTTTATTTTATTTAACATATATGACCAGAATAAATATTATGTCGCGTAGACTCTCAGTATCGAAGACCTAAGACTCATTTAGAACGCTTCAAGGCTTGATGACAGTTGTAAATCTCTTTGGAACTGCCTAGGCGCTTATAATAGATTGACGCTCTGTTGGGTCCTTTCACAAGAAAGGTTCAAAGGCAACGAAAGGGCCGACTGTCTCGCAAAACGTGCAGCCCAAATGCGCAGGCATAGTTCCGAGCCTTTCTGAGGCACACCTAAAAGATACACTATGGAGCTGCTTAGGTGTTGGGAATAATCTCAGAATGATGGGCACTGGCGGATATCAACGGGAATGAGACAATCAAAGGGTGCTCAGAATTCTTGCAGGCTACCTAAGAGGAAACTGCAAGTTAAGGTACGGACAAATCGTAGGTTTTGTGGGCTGGCAGAGGAAACCACAGAGATATTCTGTGTGATTAACCACTAGGGTGGTCCTTAAATGTAGGAAGCAAATTTTTACATCATATTTCCTAAGCCTAAACCCCTAAGTCAATGCTAATATATTGAGTAGAAGATATCACATAAATTTTGGCCCCGATTGGAGTCGGTTAAGGCATGTCGAACGGGGGTCAAACTTCAGATTACCCTATGAAGCCGTCTTAGCCGACTGCAGTCGGGATCAAAATTTATATGTGATATCTTCGACTTTGGCGGTATCAATTTCAGTATTAAAAAAAATTCTTTTTAATTTTGTGAGTCTTCCTAGAGGCATTTGGCCTTTGATTCCTTTGCGACACGCCTTAGTCGACTAAAATCGGTAACAAAATTTATTTGTGATATTTTCGACTATGTTAGTATTGATTTCGGGTATTAGATTAAAAAAAAATTAGCTTTAGTTTTCTGAATCTCTACAGAGGAATCTGAACTTTGCCCCCTGTGCGACATGCCTTAACCGTCTTCGATTGGGACCAAAATTTATATGTGATATCTCTGGCTGTGGTGTTATCGATTAAGGGGTGAGAGTGAAAAAAATCGTTCATTTGATTTTAAGGACGGACAACCCTTTTGCCCACTTAGACTGATAAACCTTGGGAAACGATTATCTTCCCCATCCAAATGTAGGAACATGCCACCATCCAATATGTACAATTTCTTAAATGGGATGGAGTGACTACTTCCGGATACCCGACGTAATAATAATAAGAATGTAGTAGAGCTTGATGAAGAAGGAATTCTGTGTGATTTCTATTCATAACGAAAAACACTTTCAAAGCGTCGACACCAGCGCTTTAATTACAATGAAATATTCGCTATGGTTTAAGTGCTGATCAAGAAGTGATACTATCAGCAACCACCAGGAATACATTCACTAAAAATATTGCGAAAACGTCAAGCGACAGTGTGTCAACAGAACTGAAATTGCGAACAGCAGAAGACAAGAAACAAAAACCCCAACGCAGCATCCCTTTGCCAGCGCCAACGCCCTGCAGTGGCAATAAAAGTTAATGTACGAAAAATTCTGACACGGATATCTTAAGCATTCAAATTACCCGTAAAATACGACGATGACAGCAGCAGCCGCAGCCGCAGAAACAGAGGGACGACGCAGAGTACAACAAAAAATGTTGTGGAAATAATAGCAGTAATGTTAAGTGCTCGCGGCAACAAAAACAGCAGAAACAACAAGCATAAAATGTGCTACATATCAGCAACCGCGTTGAATACCTGCAGTAATGATAAATTGTGCAACAACAGCACCAACACCAACACCAAAAGCCTGGGCAAGAGGGTGGCGGTGGCGGTGGCGGCAACAAAGATTCTGGCAGCAGCTGAGACAAGAGCAGCATTCACAGCACGTTGGCAATATTGTAACTCATTCTTATTGTCATTTGTTATTGCTGTTGTAACATTTACTGTTGAATATTTTTGTGTTGGTGTTTTCAGCACTGCGCTGCAATGGCACTCCTGCCGTGCCTGCCGTATAAGTTGCGCTTAATTTGCATATTTTATGCGGCGGCAAGCGCACAAATAGCGTCAGCACGCGCGCTTACCTGAATATTACATAAGTAGATGTTAAGTGTGTGCGTGTTTTCATGAATATATGTATGTGAGTGGAAGTGGTGTATGTGCGCATTTATGTTCAACACCGTCGACAACGCGTAAATGCCTGTCAATGTAATTGTGGCAATGTAAAGTGTCAAAATGCGGCCGCGCGTGCGCCAAATGAGCGACGGTGGCACTACTCCGACTACTCCGAGCTGCTGCCGTAGACTCTTATGCAAAACTTAGCAACTATTGTCAGCGCGCTAACAAAAATAGCGCTCGCAAATGAATGCACATCTGAATGCCAGGAAATGTTGGTGGAATAAGTAAAAAGGCCTACTTGTATTCTCGCAGTCGACACAAATCAGTTTTTGAATGGCCTGGAAGTGTGTGTGCGGCAAAAATGTGGCATGTCCTCATTTGGTTGGTCCTTTTTGTTTGTGCCTGTCACTTTGCATGGAATAGGTGAATGTTTTAGTTGTCGTAAATGGAAATGAAAATAAAGTTATCAGCTGAGATTGTGGCATGTGTGCATAAATATTTTAACATACTTACCGTACCTGCTGTCCTTGAGCAGGCAAAATTATTTGACATGCGTGTACGGGTTGTAATGCCTGCTGGATTTTACCTTTTTTACGAATTGTGCTGGCGTAACTAATGCTCTGAGGTGTCAAAGAATGCAGTCATCGTGACTTTGAATCATTGCAGTCACATTCATTGACTAATAATTTTTAACTGCAGCCAATCAATCACATATTTGACTTAAGACTGCACTGACTAATTAGTCATTTTCGCTCATCCCTTGACTGCAAACAGGATTTTTTTAATCCTTTATTACTTGGGTTACTTTTCAGCATTTTCCAATCCTTTTTTTTTCTATTTTTGGCCGCGTAGTGCCAGTGCGCGACAACCTCTCTAATCCAATCATCAAAGGTGAATCGTTTTGATCTAACTTGTTGGCAATTTTGTTGTTCCTCCTCTTAAATCAACGCAGCGAGGATACTGCGTGCAGTATAGATTTTATAATAAAATAGATCGCTAACTAACTGACACAATGATTACCAAATGTGGAGCTCTGGGCTACAAAAAGTCGAAAGAAACTGGTGATCTCGCGAACAGCAAACCTTTATTTTGACTTAAATATACACGCCCGTTTCCCATCGATTCTGGGATATCAACTAAAGAATAGCATTATCAGGATTTATTCTGATAACCAGGCACAAATTTTACTAAGAAAATTTTCTGAAACCAAGTGTGGAGCAATACTCGATTTCTTGTTTGGGTTCCTGGTCATAGAGACATAGTTGGTAATGCGAGAGCCGATCGTTTGGCTACGACAGGAGTTTCTTTTAATGACTATGTTGCAAAATGTAGAAAAATACAAATATTTGCAGTTTCTGGAACATAAATGGAAGGTACGGTCTGAGTTACATACTTGTAAGGTAAGGCACTAGCTAGTTTTTTGGTCTGATTTTCTTAAAAAAGAATATCTTCGGGAAGCACACAATTAAACTGCAAGGGAAATTATACTGTGCCGCAATGAACGACGTTGACAAATTCATGAGCGGTTCCCAAGAGTTCGATACCTTTGGAAGACCTTTGAGGTGAGGAGCCGGTGAATAGAGATGTGGACTCGCTTAGAATTTTCAATCGAATTTAGTTAGCACAGAATAGAAATGACTAGAGTATGTAGCTAGACTCGACCGAAATCGCTTAGCGGCAAAACCGAAGAAGGACAATAAGAACAACAAAAAAAAAAGAAGAATATTTCCAAATTAAAGAGTTATTTCTATTTATGTGTGATTTATATTTATACACATGACTTACTCTATTATTCGGTAAAGTTTTTTTTCAATCTTACCGAGATGTATTCTATGAAATACTAGTTTTAATAACACCTAACGAAATACATTGTAAATGAACGTAAATATGTTCGATATCGAAATGTGAAAATTGAATGAAAATACGAGAAGTTGAAAGAGAAGAATTTGTAAATATTTAAGCATATCCTGTACGCGTCTGTAAGAATTACATTGTGCAACAATCATATGCAAACATTCGCATGTGGCAATAAAACAGTGTGAGCCAAAAACGTAGCACAAACAATATGCTTAAATTTGCCATTTCCGTCAGTGAAAACATAAAACATATGCATGAATATCGACACGCACACTAACCAACCTTCCCATAAATGATATCGAGCGACATTCGCAAATGCTGACTGTTGAAAAGCTGAAATCCGAAAAGCACTCAACGCAGCAAAGCGTCCCAATAACAAACACTTTTCAACAAACGAATGGTTAATTTTTAATTTGCATAAATAAAAAGTAAAAAAAAAACACACACACACACATACACACGCGCCTATATAAAGGCTCAGCAAAAAGCTCGCTTTTTCTGTTTATTTCCCTTTTGTAAAAGGAGACGCTGAAGTTTCACCTGTGCGTGGCATGGCATTATTAGAACAAGTGCGGCAAACCTGTACGCATGGGTGACGGTACAACGTGGCGTATGAGTGACTTACATTGATGCTTTTTGTTATGTTTGAATCACAAAAATCGCAAGTCCTCATACATATGTATGTACATATGTGAGCAATGAAGCAGCAGCAACAAAATACACTCTTCACAAGTATCACACAAATTTTGGTGCGATGGCGGAAGATCAGAAAAATGAAAATTAAAGCCAAATAAAGACAAGAGAAAAAAGTAAAATTACAATGGAAAAGAAGCAGAAAGTAACGATGACGCATTTGCGAAATAAGCAGGCGATGGGCAGGCGTTCAAAAGCTAAGCTAGTAAGGACAATGGAAGTGGCAAAGTGATAAAAAAAAAAACGTTCATCACATTGAAATAGAGAAGTGGCTGTGAGTTTGCCGAAAAATTGCAGAGAAAAGAAAATCAAGTGTCATGTTGCGAAATAGAATATGTTTTACGCTTTAAACTTGGCTTATTTCAGGCGCATGCAAAAGTGTTTATTGAAGATCAAAAATTACAAGAAAAAGGCAGAAGACTATGAAACGACTGAAAGTTTCTTACATTAAATGAGCGACAAACAGTTGGCTTAATTAAAAAAGTTTATAATAGCACATTTCAGCATTTCAATAAATTAATCGATTGATAAATGCAAAAAAATCCAATATCATAAGCATTTCTTTTACATTCGTTTAAAAATCAGACAAATCCTTTATAAAAAATATATTTATATTTCTCTCTCTACCACATGGAAATGAAATGTTTTTGTGTAATGTTTTCCCTTTTTATTAATATTTTTTATCCCCTTAGCCTTTGTTTGCAACTTTATTGTTTGCAAATTCTTTGCTGACTAGACTTCTTGTGAATTTTGCTATACATATTTGAAATATTTTTATTTGCATTTATTCTTGCTATAAACTCTGTCTGTCCAAAATGTCCAATGCACTGCGATCTGCATACGTAAAAATTTAGGAATGTTTTAAACAAAATTTACGTTGTTCTGTTGGCTGGAAAGTAATTTTATTTCCATCGCCGTTCAAGTTGACGTGGCAATATCTCTGACTGCCGGCCATTGAGCAATGAACAGTATTGCCAAACAGAATTATAGTTTATTTAACACGGTTGTTTTTAGTGGAAAAAATATAATTCAATTTTGTTTAAGGAGCTAAGGAGCAAAATCCATTGGCTCTTAGCTTCTTGCCCTTTTGCTCCGCTCCGAAGCCCTGATTTAAAACGTTTGGAACCCGAGGCTGTTTAAGATCACCAAGGGTACGTATGTACACATAGAAAGTGGCGCGTCGCCGAGCGAAGAGAAATTTCAGCTGGTCATACTGCATGAGGTGGAGCGAAATTTTCTGTACGGAATTGGCTAAAACGATGCCAATAGACTTACCTAGATTACTTCAAAGTTAGATGATTTTTTATTTTAATTATTTCTGGCGGCATGAGCTGAAAGGTCAAACAGAAAATTCTGAAGCAAAAACTGCTTTGTATTCCGCTTTAAAACGCTTCTGAAAAAGCTTGCTGTATGAGCACTACTCTTGGCTCGGCTTAGCGCGGCTTCCGAAGTGTACGCACGCTAAGGATTGCAGAAGGTAAATATCTAATAGCTAGTAGCTCTTTTGGTGCTCGTAAATTTCCTTTACCTTAAAATTAAAGTGCCCACAATAAATTCAAGCAGTTTTAGGTAAATATTTTAAAAGTAAAGACACAAGGGTATTCAACAATGTTATTGGATTTGAGGTCGTTTGTAATGAAAAATGTGTGCTCAATAAAATTGTTGAATGAATGAAAAAAACCAATAATCTTAAGTTAAATATTAGATATTTAATAGAACCTTAACACAAAGCCAACCAAAAACAACAACCACTTGATCTCGCCTAAATAGTTAGCAGCGAAGTTGTTGTCTTTGATTGCAGTTAACTAGGTTGACCATGAAAAACAGCAACATTTTAAATCGCGAGCTTATTCCGGTAAGTACCATAAAATAATGTCAGGAGCAGGTAATATTGTACCTTTGTACTATTTAGCATGTCATTGGTCGGTAACAACTTAAATTTAAATATATTAAATTCATTCTAGCGTGTCTCAGTCCTTGGCGACTATAACTTTTTTTCTGTTCTAAACAGTAAGAGTGGCACCTTTCTGAAATCTTTATTAAATGAACAATTTTTTTTATGTAATGTAAAGTTATAGCTCCGTACATTTTTTTTTCACCAGAGATAGTCAAAGTTGGAGAAGAAAATATCAAAAAGATTAAAATCCCAAAATAGTCCTAATTTTATGATGGTTCCTTAATATATTTTAACTGCATTGCATTTGAGAATAGAGAAGCAACAATCTGAAGGTATTTTACACAAAAAATTTACTAAGTATAGCCTGGGTTGTAGATGCAGTTAAAGAAAGTACATGAAAAGGCACGATTTTTTTTTTTTAATTAAAAAAAAAATTAAATATTTCAAAAACGGTGACGCTTTTACCTGAATTTTTTTATTTATCAGGGGGTTCCCCCCCACCTACCTTCGCCTAAAGTTTGGCAGGTTACTTCTGGGACACCCTGCATATGCTCGTCTTTATTCTTTAAATATTTTATTTGTATCGAACATATTTTGATACATAAGTATATAAATGTATACATAGTGTTTTAACGTTAGGCTTGTTTTTTCTAAACGCACCTTATTTGCTTGTTTTCCTTTTTGATATATTAATTCCGACAGCTGTCATCCATTGTATGTACTTTCTGCAGCTGACTTTATTCACCTGGGAATCCAAAGTTTTTATAACACTTAGAAGTTTTGGTTTTGATGTTATTGATTTGTTAATGGAGCATACATACATACAAACGTACAATATATATGCATATGTACTCGCAATGCTTATGTACAGTGTTGCATACATACATATGTATGTACATAAAATATTCGCAGATCGTATATTTATAACAAGAAATGCGGTGCTACGAGAAATGTGAATTTACATATTTTTGACAAAGACATGGACAGCAGAACACTTTCTCACAAGTGGCATTTTTGATGAATGGTAATAAAAATAGATCAATCAAAGAAACCCAAATATTGACAAAATATGCGGCAAGTGTTTGACGTTTTATTTGCTCGGCACTTGAATAAATACGATTTGACAATTTCAGTGAAGTTTTAGAATTTCATATTAGCTATGTTAGCGCTACTATTCTTGGCCCATGTGTGAGGAGGATTCTGCTCTTTAGTCGTTTCAACCTTTTCCTTTACACACCGTTTTTGCCTTTAAACCCTATTTTTGCATTGACTCAGCAAAATTTCTTATTGTGCGCCGCGAAGCAAGCGGGAATTGGCTAGTGTATGTATAAAATAATATCCCAAAACCATATGCAAGGCAAAGTAGCTGTGATAATAAAATATTAGACCTCTTCAACAGAGTCATTTATATGAGAAACTGGTAAAGAAATAAAGTACGCGGTGGAAATAGATCGATTCTTAGAAGAGAGGTAAAAGTATTAACCCTTTAACGACCTTAATGTCTAATTTTTTCATTACTATCTTATTATGGAAAAATTTTTTACGATTACTATTTACGTCAACACAAGAAAGGGCACGTTCAAAAGCATACTGTGAATCATTTTGCCTCTGCATTGAAAGGGTTAAAAAGCGTATCATATCTGAGACTAAAGGGTGAAATGTTGCACTTTCGTAAAGATCTCGACCATTGTAACCATTTTTGTTATATGCATTTTTTTGTACAACCTGACAGTTTACGAGTTATTAGAGTTTAAAGGAAGCTTTTTTCTAATCTGGCGACTCGGTTACAGCATCCAATTATCCAAGAATCGAATCCTAAAATAAAACGAAAAGAAATCTTTCGGAAAAAATATACTGTTTTCTAGTGGAATGGGAGCCAAAATCCAAAATTTCAAAAAAAGTGACAATTTGAACGGTCTTTTTAAGGGTTAACTTATTGTTGCTGTAACTTCTCTTCACGTTAAATTTTCATTCCATTATCTCTTTTCTTATCGAAGATCTACGATTTTGAAAAAAAAAGATGGTGTTTGCCCATAGTGCGTCGGTTGTTGTCTGCATACCCATCACGTCTGTGAGCTATACGTTTAGCAGCACGTCCATTGGCGTCTTGGGTGTAGTGTACAGTATCGTACTGATCCATAGTAGGACCGTTCTTTGCACCTACTTAGATATGTAGTGGTAGGGTGGTTCATTTCTTAGCTTAAGTAGGCTCGTTGAACAGATATTTTGCAGAGTTATTAATCTTATGTCTTATATTTGCTAGTGGTGCTAGTTTGCGTTAGTGGTGAAGTTTTTTTTTTTAATAATACGAACTCCGTTTCGCTTCATAGCGTTCTCGAAAAACTCCAGTCCGATTTGATTTTACTTAGTCTGTGCACTAAACATTTGATAAAACTATTTAGGTATATATATTTTATACTCTCGCTTCTTATTTACATTAATAAAACTGACATCAATACATACGTACATATCTATTTGCAATACTCTTTGGGTGTACATGCATACAATTTTCTTACGTACATATATATGTATATTGCTTGAAAAGATTACAGATATTAAAATGTGATTCGTAAGTTATGCAATGTTCTCTTAAAGTTTTGTTGAGTTGGCATTCGTAACCATAAAATCAAATTTTAAAATTTTATTCAAAATTGAAGTGGTCAACTACGCCAGCAATACAATACTGTAACCAATGCCCGTACCTACACCTAATCATACATATGTATATGATGTCCCACCTGCACAAACAAAAAAAAAAAAACAAAAAACAAATTTTCTTCAAAATGTATTGTCTGCCTGCTCTGTTTTGACTAGACTCTTATTTATTTGCATGCATGCAAATCGATGTCGTGTGGACTTACCTGTCTAACTTACATATGTATGTACATAGGTACATAGGTAAATTTCAATAGGGTCTGGGTGAATGTGATCTCTTAGATATTTTATTGTGCTTCCGCATTGTTATTGCAAGGAGCTTTGAAGAAGTATTGCTTTGCCGGTTAGCTTGATTAAATTTGATACAATTCGGTTTGCATGCTTTTCATATTTTTTATTGCTTTTATTAAATTTTATTACTTTAGCTCCCACTTAAAAAGTGTCAAATGACTTCTCGTGAGAGCGAAGGTATCACAGCTGTTATTTTTTGTTCAAATTCACCGAACCTACTTCAGCCTGTTTATCGTTAAACATATTGACAGCACACTTTGTGCTTTTTTTACTTTTAGGCCTTCTGCGCTTATTTGGGCTTTCCTTTATCGGATCATTGCGATTATTTTCATGTCATCCACGCAAAGTCTAGAAAACTGAAAAGCACAAAAAAACAATGCTAGATACATACGCTTTGCCGAAAGAATCGAACGAAAAACGGTTTAATTTTATTTCCCTATGAGATCTTTTAGTCTATTGCCGTGACTATTCGTAGGCTTAAATATACATACATACGCATACACGCACGTATAACATACGG